TCTACAGTCTTTTGCATAGTGACCAGACTTTCCGCACACAAAGCAACCTCCTTTGTTCTTCTTCTTGAACTTGTTAAAGTTTCTTGAAGGCTTGATTTCTCTATAGCATTCGCTTTCGAAGTTCCTTCCTAAGAGTTTTCACTTCTATCGCGTAACCTGGATTCTTCTTCAATCCTTAGGTGCCTTTGCAATTGTTCCAAAGAGTAGTCTTCGGAACTATGCATAATTTTCTTCCGGTATCCTTTCCAAGTTCCCGGAAGTTTTGCTATTATAGCCCCCACTTGAAAGGTCTCCTTGATTTCAATCTTTACCGCCTTTAATTTGTTGACAAGGACTTGCAACTCATGTATTTGGGGAAGTAGGGGAATATTTTCCAAAAACTTAAAATCAAAATATTTTGAAATTATAAATTTTTTTGTACCTTCTTCCTCTGCTTTGTATTTGCTTTCTAAAGCCTTCCATATCTCCTTTGCCGAAGAAGTGTTGGTGTACAAATCATATAAACGATCTGAAAGAGCATTGAGTATGTGACCCCGACATATGAGTTCATCTTCTTGTCGTTTTTGCCTTTCTGCTCTAACTGCTTCGGTTTCTCCATTGGTGGGTTCCGGTAATGGCGTCAATTCTGGGTCTAAGATATAGAAGATCTTCAATGCGGTGAGAAGAAACTTCAGTTTGTCTTGCCACCTTGTGAAATTTGTGCCATCGAACCGATCCAATCGAACCAAATCTTGATTCATCAATTTGATGGTCGCCATTGTTGTTTCGTTTTCCATCACGACAGAAATTCGTTTGAGATTGTTGGAAATAATGTTACTCCACCAAAGATGAGAACGAATTACATACAAAAAAAATAAAAATCGAAAGAAGTATAGGAGATGAACAAATGGCAAAGGATATATGAAGAACTTTGAAGGCTCAAACACAATCTTTGATTGTTGTCCTCAAACGAATTTTGCCCCCACTATTTTGGTGTTTAAAGGGTGATCCGACAAAAGGTTTGAAGGATTAATCAAGCCTTATAGAGATTCAAACACTAAACACTTGTTTGAATCTCTAAAACTTAAGAACACAAAGAAAAAGATGAATATGAGAGGGTATTTTTTGTTTGGATTTGATCTCAAGAAGTATCAATATAATAGGTGTTTTTTCAACATTTTTCAATGACCTAAGATCACCTATTTATAGCCAAGTAGTATAGCTTCACGAAGTGGTGCACCTTATGGATGAAAAGCCACCAAAAAATCAACAAAAAACGATCCAACGGTCGTTTTTCTGTACCATGCGACCGCATGGTACAAACCCATGCGGTCGCATGGTACAATCCTACGAGACCATATGGTCTCGGTAGGGTTCCATGCGGTCGCATGGCCTAATTTTATTTATTTATTTATTTATTGTTGGTTTTGAACAATCATACCAATTCATAACAATATTTCCACTGATACGACCTTTTGTTTTTCCGTTCGAGGCTTGAAAACTGACTTGTACACGCACTCGCTCAAGAACTGCACCTAATGTCCATTCTTCATTTATTCCGCAGCTTCGAGAATCTCGTATTCACAGTTCTCCAATATCAAGTATTTCATTTCTACACTACAGTTCTTATATAAAGCCCAGATTTCGCCTTTCCGATTAAGTATAGAGAACACATCCTTCTTATCCACAAGTTCTGCTAATAGATGAGACACGGGAAGGGTGCCAACTGTTTTGTGAATTTTTTTCCTTTTAACCAAAAATTTCTCACAACATATTGGAATGTTTTTATCGACCCATCTTATCGCGTACTTTGCTGGCAGATAGTTATAAAGCCATCCTACATGAAAGGTATACCCCGGAAGAGTATCAATCTTTTGAATCTGACTGTAGTACTTGGGTAAAGTATCCTAATCACTGTAAATTGCCCGTACCTGACCAACCTGAAACTTATCTACAGATTTCTCAGCGTCCAAGTTGTAAAACTCCAGCTCGGGAGTTTCAAAACTTTCTGAGATAGAAACTAGTGCTTCCTTGCGACTGGGATTTAGTCGCACGTTCTTGTCTTTCACGTAAGTTAAATACTAATTTTCTGCACATAGGGAGCACGTCTTATGTGAGATAAATGAATTACATTTTATAACTTCTACATATTAAGAGAAAAAGATATTTTACTATAATGGTCTTTTTACAATGGAAGCATCTTTTCTAAATCTCTTGAAAACATGTTTTTCAAAAGGTTTATAAAAGGTAAAAGATGTTTTTACTAAACTACCTGCATAATTTCTTTTTAATTGGTGGGCTTTGCACTATTTCAACTCTATCCCTTGACTTTCAATTATGTTTCAATTACATCACCAAATTTGCTTCCATTACTAAAACTAATGAAGGTTCCTACGTAGGAGAATGCAACATTGTACACTCCGCCTACCATGTTGAAGTCTACTTCATGATGTAACTAAATCCCCCAAAAAAAATAAAAAATAAATAAATCGAGGACTACAATGAGACTTCGTAACATTGACCCTCTGAATAATTAACCTATCTCACAAATTTCCAATAAAATCTCTCCACTTAATAGTTGATTAATGCATTTTACACTTATTAAGGTCCTAAAGATATGCTTAATTTGAATTAATCAAGCAGTATTCACTCAATTTACATTGTAATTGACTTATATAGGTTAAATCCTTGTCTGATTTACTCAAAATACATTTTTCTCTCTTTTCTTTTCAACCACATATTTTTCAATAAAATATATTACACGTAAATTCAAAACTTTTTCTTCTTTTTCAGCCACACGGTATTCAAAAAATAACTATATCAAAACAATTTTTTCCCAAATTTTGATTTTAATGGAGCCCAAACAAAGGCTAAATCTCCAATTTGAAGATTAATTGAGAAAAAGGAAGTGATTTGAAACATTAAGTAGGAACACAGAAGTTGAAATCTCATAAAAGTAAATATAAGTAACTCCACGTCTACGTACCAGATTTTTTCATCCCATATGCCCTTTTCTCAGTAGAACAATGCACATTACAAGTTACAATCATGCATGAAATGTTCTCCAGATCAAGATAATATCAGGATAGAGCTGCAAGGCCTTCATCACAATCTTCTGTTCACCCATGAAGTCCTCGTTTTACATCTTTTTTTGTGCAATATCTCTGGCCTAATTACATCTTCATTGTTAATCCATCTCTAATCCAGAATATGGAGAATCACATAAATCCCATTGATGGTATACAAGCAAGACGGCCAAACTAATAAATATTAAATGAAATGCTGAAGTGAACCCCATGACAGTTTCCTAATAGGAAAATATCAACTTGCCAGAGATAGAAGCGTCCCATAAAATTCATACAATCCCCAATATAACACTCCAAACACACACGTAGCCACCGTTTCATTTGGATAAAAATCATATTTTTAATAGATTCCAAAGTTGATGGATTATATGGTTGAAGAGTCATGGAACCTGAAAGTCCTACCTAATTAGCAGATTAAGTTTGACCTTCCGTGCAGAATATACAATTATAAGCAACGTGTCACTTATTAATTGTTTTCACATATTTAAGCATACAAGTCCAATTTCCCTATATTGAATTGCCGCAATTTATAATATGAAAATAATAAATAACATCAATATTGTTAACGGAGAAACCCAACTAGGTAAAAACTCAAGGACCAAGTCACTTACCTCCACTATAAAATTCATTGATTAAAATATTATAAAATATATTTTTTTTAATTTTAAACTAAACATGTTTTCTAATTTCCTGTTTTAAAAAATAAATTTTCAAAATGACAAACTAAACATAGTTTTAGAAATTTTAAAATAGATCCTCAAAATAGAAAACAAATGAAATCAAAAGTGAAAGTAGAACACAAAAACTAAATGGGCCTTTATTGTTTTCAAATAATGATCGTCAAATGGGGGCGAAAATAAAATAGAGTCCAACCATGACTTAATTAGAACGTGCTTGACAACCATTATTATAGAAAAAAAGTTTTGAATAGTAATTTTTAGGAGAATGTGTGGTCAACAGGTAGGAAAATTTTTTATATCCATATAAAATGTTTTATTGTATAGGTCCTTGTTTGAGTCACATTATTTTTATAAGAATGCATAGTTGAATAGTACATTGATAGAAAATGTGTGGTTAAAAAATAAGAAATTTTTTTGAATTTGTGTGTAATATTATTTTATTGAAAAATGTATGGTTGAAATAACGTCAAATTATTGTTTAAAAATGTATCTTTTTAAAAGAATGTAGGTCAAACAAAGCTTAAATGTGATTGAAAATAATCCTATAACAAACTATAAAATAAATTAGGATTATATTACTTGTACATAAAAATGGTACATAAAGAATGACATAAAATGATGTGAAAGAAAATGATTAAATAAAAAGTTAATTGCATTTTAAATTGACAAATAATATGTGACATTGTATAACTTATTATATAAAATTAAAAAATGCTCCTGTAACAGGGAGGCTGACTGCCTCCTTGACAGGAGCCCCACAAATGGGGGTGGGCCCACAAAAAAAACCTGAGCCTCCCTCCATTTGTGGGGTTCGATCAGGGAATGGTCAACCTCTCTGCTCCTATAACACGCTTCATATAAAATTTGATATAGATATAGCAAAGTCCAATAAATTAATACGTCTAAAACAAGCACTCACTCCAAAATAGGTTTGACTCTCCGTGGTTGTGAATTATCATTTCTCCCTCAAATTAACCTCCCGTTTGAACCCCCATTATTTCTCATTATATTAAATTAAATTTTTTCTCTTACTTTTAACCACACAATCTTCAATAAAATAATATTATACGTAAATTAAAAACTTTTCAACCACTCATTCTTAAAAAAAATACTATTCATCTCATTATAATCTATAAATGATGGGACTCAAAGTTAATTTTCAATTTTCAACAAAGTTAATTTTCAATTTGCTCTTGTTCCCGCCCACCCCCTCGTCTCTCTCCCTCTCTCTCTCACACACACACCATCCACAATCAAATCGGTACAGTGAAACCCTGATTCCATTCCAATCCATCTCTTCGCAACTTAAAATCAAACCTGTCACTATATTATTTCCAGATCTTTTACTTTTTCCATCTCTCGCGCGCACAGAAGTTATATATTTGAATTTTCAGTTTTGCAGAAGCCCTAGCGATGAACCACTATCACATTTACGAGGCCATCGGCAAAGGAAAATGCTCGGTAATTCTCATCGAGCTTATGTTAAGCCAATTGATGTATGAATTCAATTGTTTGTGCATTTATGGGTGAGTAATTGCGTGAGTTAATGTTGTGGCAGACTGTGTATAAAGGGAGAAAGAAGAAGACGATAGAGTATTTTGCTATAAAGAGCGTAGATAAATCTTATCGAAACAAGGTTCTTCAAGAAGTAAGATTTTTGATAAATTGTGTTTATTTTGAAATTTGATTGACATGTTTAATTTTTCAGTATTGTTTGATGTTTTACTGTCTAATTTTGGTGCATTTGTACTTCTGAATACGTTTTTTGATTTTTTACTGCCTGAGTTTCGCGTCCCCACAATTTTTTCCCTGGTGCGAGTTGTTATAGAGTGGAGAGTTTACATAAAGTCAATATTTTTAAATGATTCGTTTATTATTTTATGCATAATTTGAATTTGGCCTTTTCCATTTCCTGCTCCAACTTATACAAACTGAGGGCTCAAATTTTACCTTTACAGTTTATTAATCATGAATCCCACATTTATATTACTGCTTTGAGCTGTAATTCTATACATATAATACTTACAAGGAATCTTAATTATAGAAAACAGAATCATAGAGCTTATTACAATTGAAAACATGACAATTCTGAAATTCTGGTTTTTTGGAAATTGGATTTACTTGAAATTAGATTGATATTTTAATATCTTAGTATTTTTAGATGTTTTACAGCCTAATTTGAAGTATATTATTACTGCCTTATTTTTGCATCCTCGCCATATTTCCAGGTGCAAGTTGTATTAAGTTGAGAACTAACAGAATAGATCTTTATAAATAGTTATTACTGTAAATATATTAGGATTGGTTTAAATTTTGATTCATATGTTACTTTCAGTTTCATGAATATTGTGAATTCAAATTTCTCTATGTTCTGATCCAAGTTACTGAAATTTGGGGTTAAATTTTATAATTTTTGATAACATTAGTTAATATTAACTCAAGCAATTTTATTTTTTTAAATCATAAATCTTCCTGCCATTGAATTTTCAATTATGGCATAGTGTCAATAGGGCCTTCGTTCTGGTTGCTTAAACCTATCAGAATACTGAAAATATAGTTGTGCGATGTTTGTTATTGATTGAGAACATGGCACAGCACTGAATTTAAGTTATTGATTCACAATACATCGTAAATTTGTAAGTGCTTTAGATTTGACCTTTATTATATATAAATTGTATGAAATATATACAGTTGATCCATTATTCTGTGCCATCATTTGTTATTATTTTTTCAAAGCATGTTTTTTTGAAGCTGTAAATGTACTGGTCTTCCTTGAAAGCCCACTTCTTATGCTATTTAGTTAAACATGTTAAAGTCAAATACTGAAGTGCTCTTTTTAAAACTTTTGAGTCTTGGACTGCTCAATTCTTGAAGCATGTTAAAAATCAAAGAAGACAATGCAAGTGTATTGGAAGTTGGAATAGGATCTCTGTACTCATCGTAATATAGTAATTCGCTGTTAAAATCCTAGGCTTGTCTGAGGATGATTCATATCACTAACGTTCATTGGTAAAATGCACGTGTCTATGTTTTTGCTCCTGTGGATTTGGGCTTCATAAAAACTGCGTGGTTTTTCTTGATAACAGGTCAGGGTCCTTCACACTCTGGATCACCCTAATGTGCTGAAATTCTACTCATGGTAATATTTGACACTGTTTTAGATACAAAAGAACTTCTATCATGATCTAGACTAAGTATAAATGTGCTTCCAGTATGCTTACTACATTCTATATGGTTTTTGATGGTACTGCTCGCATTAGATTGGATGTTCTTCTCACTCTTTTTTTCTTTCTCAAATTACATTTTCAGGTATGAAACATCAGCTCACCTATGGTTGGTTTTGGAATACTGTGTTGGAGGAGATCTCTTGACTTTATTGCAACAGGTGATTGATTATTTTTCATAGACATCAAGATTCTGTGGCCTGTGAAACTGATTATTCTCCCCCACAGAGATAACTTATCATAAATTAAAAGGCAATTTCTTTCTATTTTTAATATAATTTTCTCCTTTATGGTTTTCAAGTATATAACAACTGGAATGTCCTTTTAACAGTATATAAGGACATAGAGTATGTGGAAGTGCAAGCAAGGCTAGCTGGCTTTGTCAGGTTTATGGCTAGAGTTGTCTTTGTACCCACTTGAACTAAGCTTAAGCTTCTAGATGGCAAGCTTGCCCGCTGGCCAGTTTACTTCATTTTTACTGTTTTACTTAACTGGATACCAATCCATATTTAAATAATTAATTGTTTATAGTTTATAATACATGGGGATTGTATTCAGATTCTTATGCAAGAGTTTGAATAGCCACAGATTAAGTTTCAGCTTAAGCTCAAACTTCTTACTCTGAATTCAGACTTAATTCAAGCGTTGTATATTTCACTTGAGCTTGATATCCAAAAATACACAAGTATTTGGACTTGGTTTGTTCACCCCATTAAAATTGTTCATGATGCACATGGATTAATCTAATTTATGAATTATATTATATTACTGATTCTAGGTTTTTATCTTTTCTCTATGTTTTCTTTCTTACCAATACAAATCTCTTTCCCAAGAAATTTTTGGAATATTGTGCTTTAAAAATTGCTTAATTACTGTACTGCAGGATGGTAAGCTTCCAGAAGATTCCATACATGATTTGGCTTGTGGCATTGTCAGAGCTCTGCAGTAAGAAAACAACAATTTCCCTCGATCTCCAAATTTCCTGTTTTTCGTGTTTTCATATTTTTTTCCCCAATTAACCTCCATCTGTTAGGTACTTACATTCGAAAGGAATTATTTACGGTGACTTAAAACCGTCAAACATTCTACTGGATGAGAATGGACATACAAAGGTATACTCCTTTACTTTAACTTTCATTCTTAAATTTAGAATTGAGGGATTCTTCGTTTGAAGGGAAGTATTTTACTCATGATTTTCAGGTTCATTTATGTCATAATTGAATAACAAACCGTGCCCCCCCTTTTAATTGCCAATTCTATGGCCATTATGATTACCTCCCCTTAATGTTCACTATTGCAGCTATGTGACTTTGGATTAGCTAGAAAACTGAGTGATATATCCATAACACCTTCTTCCCAGGTGAGTTCTCCAAATAAGTTATGAGTTGATCCATGTATTAATTTTATAAAATCAAAAGATCATTTCCTTTCCAAGTCACCGTGTCCCATTTTCTTCTTCAAATCTTCATTTTGTTATTTACTTTTCACGTGTGTTTTCAGTTGCCACAAGCAAAACGTGGAACCCCATGTTACATGGCTCCTGAATTATTTCTGGATGGAGGGGTCCATTCCTATGCTTCTGATTTCTGGGCTCTTGGTTGTGTCCTATATGAGTGTTATACTGGGAGACCTCCATTTGTTGGGGAGGAATTCACTCAACTGGCAAAATCGATCCTTTCAGATTCAAACCCAGTTCTTCCTGGCACCACGAGCTCTCCCTTTGTTAACTTAATAAATTCTCTTTTGATCAAAGATCCAGCTGAAAGGATACAGTGGTCTGAACTTTGCAGTCATGCTTTTTGGAGATCAAAATTTGCTCCACTACCATTATATTTGAGTTGAACATCTCTTTTTCATATTTTTGCTGGAATCTCTGAGACCTGAGTTGCTCCGGAGTTTATATCTTCGGATTCTTCTTTAAGAAAATTCGTCCTTTTTTGTATGTGTAGGATAGATTGGTATAATTCCATGACCTTGACTTTATCCATCAGCAAATTATAGAATTTGCTGAGAAAATCTGTAATAAAATTATTAACTCCTTTAATATGGATTATATCAAAATTATAAAATGCTAAATAAGCTTGTCATCTATGAAGCCTTCTGTATTGTGGTTCTGAGGATAACTTATTCTTGACTAATCCTGCAACTTGAGAATTATCAGTTTCAACAATAAATTTCTGGGATAATAAAAACAATGAGAACTTTTTTATTTCTCTAATAATTGCTAGTAATTCTTTTTCATGAGTAGTATAATTTATTTCTACTTGGTTAAAGGTTCTATTTTAGTATCTACAAATTTCATTAAGATCTGTTTTTAATATTGCTGTCCAATATTTATCTGAGGCATTAGTATTAACAATCAAATTATCTTTTTCATCTGATAATCTTAATTTTGGTAAATTTTTGCATTCTTCTTTTAATGATTTAGCTCCCGTTTGGCCCCTTTTAAAACTCATCAATTTAATTCAAATTTTTCTCTCATCTATTTTCAATCACACAATCTTTCATAAAAAAATATTTCACGCAAATCGAAAACTTTTCATTCTTTTACAGCCATCCATTCTTAAAAAAAAAAAAAGCAATATTCCTCCTTTCTAAATCCAAATAATGGGGGCCAAACGGAGGCTTAACTATTTTTTTATGTTCTTCATTCCATCCTTTAGTATTTATTTTTTTGATTAAAACTTGGATTTTATGTCTTCTCTTAGAAAGATTTTCAATAGATCCTTCTGCCTAATTTAAACATCCTAAAAAAATTTTAATTTGTTCCTTGGATTCTAATTTATCTGAAAAAATTTCAATCTTTTTGGATATATGAGTTTGTAATTTTATCATTATTTTATCTATTGATAATTTAAGGAAGTCTTATCTCTTGTTTTTCTAATATAGATTTCTTTTTAGATAGTACAATTCCTTTTTTTTTGTACATTCGTTAATAAATTGGATTAAATAATTTCTATGTTCTTCTTTACTATCAGAACATATTAATATATCATCAATATAAAGTATTGAAAATTCATTAAACTTTTTAAATATATTATCCATCTTTTTTTGACATATTTGTGGTGCATTTTTCAAATCAAATGACATAACTAACCATTCATATTTACCTTGAGGTGTGCTAAATGCAGTATATTGTATACTATATTCTTCCATTTTTAGTTGCCAAAATCCTGATTTATAATCAAATTTAGAATAATATTGTTTTCCTCTTGCAAGATTTATTAGCACTTCTTTATTTGGTAGAAAGTAACCATCAAATTTAGTATATTTGTTTAATTCTTTATAATTTATAATCATTCTAGCTTTTCCTCTAACTTGTTCAGAGTGTTTCATAATCATAAAGGTTAGACTACTATGAGGTCCATTACTAGGTCTAATAAGTTTTTGTTCTAACAATTCTTTTATTTGATTTTTAAATTCTTGTGTATCTTCTATTGTATACATCACTGGTCTTACTCGTATTATAACATTTTCTGTTAATTCTATTTTGACTTTTGGGTGATGTGGTTTCCAAAATAATAATGGATTTTCTCCATAAACCTTTTCTAATTGTTCAATGATTTTTTCTATATTCATTTATATTCCTATTTTTAGAACATTTTTATATAATATTTTTTTATTTTTTATTTCATTATTAAGAATTGGTTTTTTTTCACATCTATCACATCGCTAAGCTGGTTGAACTCTATAAGGTTTAAATTCTCTAGAAATTTTTAATAAGTGTCCACAAGATGTTTGTAGCATTATCATATAATTATTTTGTTTATAATATTGAAATTGTTGTATGAAATCATTTCCTAATAATATATCAATTCTAAATTATCATATTTATAAATTTTATTTATTATTACTTGTTTACTTCCAAGAATTATATTAACTTTATTAGCACTATTAATTATTTGAGTACTTTCTC